ATATATATTGGGGTATTCCCATGGTGTACATGTACCCCACTTTAATGTTTTGATCAAACCCTACAGGCAATGGTAAATTAGGTTTGTTTACAAGAAAATAATAAAAAAAAATAATAAAATTTTTTTTTACAAAATATTGCACAAACATACAATATGGCAGGAAATATTCCGATGCTCAAAGGGTTACAGTACTGAATGTATTTAATTTTGCAGGCAATCAAAAATCACAAACTTAAATCAGTTTTGTTTTGCCCTTTTTACACACTCAAATATCCTACTTGGAATACACATTCATACAATAATAAATATAACACACAACAATGCATATTATACAGGGTTTGCACTAGTGTCTCGGCAAGACGAGTCCCACTTACAAAATTTTAAGAAATTGAAATTTGACCCTGGATAACTTTATTAGAGATTGGACCCCAGCTTGCCTAAAAAACTGGGTCCCTCTTCTGAATAATTGGAGTCTTGGAAGCAAAATATGGGGTTAACGCAAGTACTGTCATTTCTTTAATATAAACTAGTGTCAGGTAATTTACATGACAAATCAAGGAAAATGTGAATAAATGTGTGTTCCAAAAAATTCAAAAAGATGAAATGTTAATCACATTATAAAATGATCATAATTGGTATCAATCAAAATTCATTCATTATAATTAATTATGAAATGATAAATAACAAGTCATTGAAAGTTATTGGTTCTTTTTTCAAAGTGATCTCTTTTCAGCTAAACACCAGACATCCCGAACAAAAAGGTTGATTATGTGTGGACAGAAACAATTTCGTGCAATTGACGAAAAAAGCAATTACCTATTTCAATAAATGTGTCAATTGAAATGTTCATGGTAGAGTAGAGTGATGTTACCGTTCTTGATGGTAGTATGACTGTAGATGAGACATTTATGTCTTTATGATTTATTATGATATAAATAAATGCATGTGCATAATATGCATAATATTATGTGTGATGTGTGTGTGGAGTTTGAATGTAGTAAAATACTTTATTTTCGCTTGGAATTTATTTTTGCTATTTTCGCTGAAGGGATGATTCCGTGAAAATAAAATCCAGCGAATATACTTTTTTCCTATATTTCACATTAAACTAATCAAAAATCAGTGAAAATAAAATCCATACAAAACGCCCAAAAAGCCTTTTCAGCGAAAATTAATTCCAGCGAAAATTAATTCCAGCAAAAATAAAGTATTCCACAGTAATTGTAATCGGTCAAGTCATGGTTGTGATGGACGGACAACACAGATGCATGGATGTGATGTACTACAACTTCACATTTTTAATTAAACTACATCTGGGACAGGGACTAAAATATGAAATCAATATGGTAATAAAAACACACCACTATATATTTTTTAAAAATTCACATAATTGAAGCAATTGTGTGAAAAAATAACGCTCATTAGAGTTCACTCTTCAAACAGATTTTTGAACACTTTGCTCAGAGAAAGGTCTAGCAATTGAAGTCTATCGGTGCAGCAAGCAGGAGCACCGGCAGCTAACATGGTGAATAAGGCTGTGAATCACGAGGGGACTGACATGGCAAACAA